TATATATATATATGTATATATATATATATATATATATGTATATATGATATATGATATTATGATATATATGATCTTATGATAGTCAATAATTATATTTTCATTAAAATTTTCAAAAATATATAAACGATCAACGATATCAACGATTTCTTTTATTGCTTTTCTGCTGATGTATACTGAGAGTTGTTTCTTCCCTAATGTTCTTTAATATACATTTTAGGAACATCATTTATTTATCTTTATTACAATTTTCTTATTTATAGATATGCTCGGTTGTATTCATTAATGAACAGATCTAACCATTATATCAAACATCATGTTTCCAAGTAAATGAGTCCGTTTATGTAGCTTATCATTCTTGATTGTTACGGAATGTCATATGCTCTTTATTACATGCCTATACATGTTTCCTTTATATTATTATGGAGAATGTTTTTCCTTATTATAAACAACTTTTATCGACTATCTACTCCTATATCATATTTTTTTTATTACATTATTTGATCTGCTCGTTATTCTTACTACTCTATTTCGAATATCACTGTTTATTTAAATACACATTGCCAAATAACGAATTTAGTAATTTACTGATTGCATATATTTATAAGAAATCTCTACTTTTTGGTTTGTCCTGTTTTACATGAAAATAATTGCTTAATCAGAGTTGAAAAAAAACCGTTTTTTTATTTTATTTAAAGGAGTTTTGTGTGTTTTGTTGTTGTTTTTTTTGCTTATTTAAAACAAAGATTTAAATGATAATTTATGCTCTAAATTAAAACTATTTAATATTATTGATAAATAATTAAACATGATAAAAACAAAGAATAACCAAATCTTTTAAATATGCTTATTTATTGCTTTACGTTTCAACTTAACAAGCAAATAAAAGTTTTCAAAGTTTGTAATGTATCTAAAAGAATGAGTTCCGTTTAGTTTGTGAGTACATATGAAAATGCTATACTTTAGCATTATTTATTGTCATTAATTTATAGCATTTGTATCAAATGGCATAATAAAATGACCATGTCCTTTTTTATTGAATAAATTTATTAAATACTTTTTAATTGAAATTTTATCCTTTAACTTTAAGAAGCATGAAAAATGCGAGGTAACATATTTTCAATTAAAATATATTTGAAAATAATGGAATAATACGAAGAACTAAAATATCAAAAAGCTTTGTTCTGGTATGAATGATTTAAGAAAATAGAATAACCACTTTTTATTAGTTTCATTTTAGCAAGAGAAGCTTTAAGCATAATAGTGCTTATAAAGAATGCAGTAATAAATTAAAGAATTTATTTTGATAATATTTCAAATGAATTTTGAATATTTTTGCACTCCCTCCTTGATATAAGCATTTAAAATATTCTAATAATTAATAAAAACATTTCTGCATACTAACAATAGAAAATTTGTTTGCAACGATAGCTGAAAAGATTCTATAACTAAACTGAAAAATAAAATGTGAAGGTCTGAAAAGATCTCTTATCCCCTAAGCTTTTAATTGCTCAATGTTATTGTTTAAATTTACTCACATTTTGACTTAGTTTTAAATTTACTCACATTTTGACTTAATTTTAAATTTACTTATATTTTGACTTAATTTTAAATTTACTCACATAATGTATTTTACTAATAAATTTTTGAGGAAGAGCAGTAATAAGTAAACATTTAGAAATTACATATCACATATGTTTATTTGACTAAAGATTATAAAATCTCAAGATTATAGAGATTTTTTATGGAAAAATTTACTTTTTTTCACTTGGTTACCTTTAAAGGAAAAGTATTTACGCGAACAACAGAAAACTAAGCTATTTAAACAATTTAACGAGATAGATTTTTTATTAAAACAGTTTATTTTAAAACAGGTAACCCTGCTCATACAAATTAATAATTCTTACAAATTAATAATTTTAAAGGAAAAAAAAATAGACAGTAAACATTAACAGTTGTTATGATACGTTGCAAATAGTAAGTAAATAATGAAGTACCTCAAAAAAAATTTCTTTAGAAAAAGTACCTACGTTTTAATTTGCTTAAGTTATCTAAATTGTTAATATGTCTCTTTATCAGATTGTTATCGGCTTCTTTTCAATATTATTTTAACTTTTTTATGAACCTTTTTGTTGCAATAATTTTGATGTATTTTTATATACATGAAATTTACATAATATTACTAACAGTACTTGAACACTTTTAAGCAAATTACTTTTTAAAAAATATACATAACCGTAAATTGTTTAATAAATTGAATTGAGTGAGTGATATATATANTAAATATATATATATATATATATATAATTTAAGTAGCAACTTAATTTATTAAAATACATGTCTAACGTTGAAATACAAAGGCATAGAGCATTCGCATAATAAGGAACTTCATTGCTGGTTTAAAATATTATCATTATTGTTATTACTTTTCAAGTTTTTTTTAGAACCGTGGAAGCTAATTCTTTAAATAAAAGAAATGATTCAAATATAAAATAAGAATAAAGCTAGAAATAATAATGATTAAAACATCTTTTAATATTAAAAAAAACGTATGGATTAGTTGGTTGATTGGAATAACATGTCAGGTTCAATTCTGAACAAATTCAAATTACACGGTTAGCTGTAGGAATATACAATTAATTTATTTTTTAAATAAGTCATATTGTAATGAATTTAACTATTTCACAAATATTTCATGACCTTTACACTAAAAGGGCTACAATTTTGAAATGATCTTAGCTGTTATTTAGCATGTTTTTCAGCTAAGCACTTCAAATATGGATACAAATTAATTATCTAATTATACATTGCACTATTAGAAAAATATTTCATGTAAAATATTGTCACAATAATTGTTATAAAAGTCATCACGCTAGCATTATGATTTAAACGAAATTAGATACTTACCTTAATTTTCACCACATATAAAAGATTGTCCAAGACTAAATTAGAACACTGAAAGGACATACTTACTTAAAAAAGTATGAAACGAATGAAGTATTGTCTGTAAGTACATACCGTATATTTATTGGTCATTCTTGTTGTGCCGCACTTATGGAAATTGTCTAAAGGTAATATAATTACAGCTTTTTGTTCCGCAACCTTTGGCAGACAGCCTAAAAGAATGAGAGAAATGCATTTAATTACTGCAAATAGAGTAATTAAATAATAAATTTTACTAATTCAATAAACATTTTCCAACAAAAATCTCATTTGTTTATGTGATTGCGAGAAAAAAAGTATCTTACCTTTACAACAACTTTTGGTATAATTTCTAGTACGATTTTGTAATCAGAATTTAAATTTAAAAACAGAAATTACCGGGCTATATTATGGTTTGCAGTGTTAGAAAATTTCTCTGAAAGAATGGTTAAGTAACAATTTTAATAAATGTTTCACCATATTGAAAGAAAACAGTCAAATAGCCATGAATAGTTTGGCATTCAAACTGTTAAGTCTGAGAAAAACTGTTTATTAATTGCTTTCACCTAATGCGGTTAAACAACCAAAATTTTATCGCCCAACCCAGGCTCACTTAATGAAGACACTTAGTTTTTCGAATGAAGACACTTAGTTGAAGACGCTCAGTTTAGTTTTTTGAAGACACTTAGTTTTTTATTATTGCCGATGAGACTTATTTGGCAATCTCATGAGCAACAGAATAGGGGTTCGAGTCTCAAAATATTTCCTCGATTATCTTCAACACATGAAGAATTTCCAGTGTCCTGTTTTCCCCTATTTGTGACCCTGGATTATTAGAGGACGATACTCTTTTTTAAGCATAGATGGTAGCACTATGGTTGGTTAAATTTCTTTTTTACAGTTTTGAAGCTATGCTAGTGGTAAATGGTTATAGTACCACAAAATACGTAAAGATTTGCATCCATGGCTTTTTAATCATACTAGTTGTAAGCAGTTTCAAAACCGTAAAGGTAAAAAAATGCTCTTTATCATAAATTTTACGATTAATTAGAAGGACAGACTACTGCCGGTTATTTTACCGTAATTTTGGAATGAAAATTCTAACAGTGTGGACATACATCAAATGGGCTGATGTATTAATTATTTGTAAAACTTTGGCGTATCTAAGCCTTTCAAAAATACGCATTATGACTTATACCGTATTGGATATGCAATCAGAGACCTAAAAAATGGATATAGTTTAAAAGTTTAAAAATCATGTTCTTCAATAAAAGTTGACTTTAAAAATTATTTCATCGTTTTTCTGGTGTTAAAATGATAAGATTAATATTTCTGTATCAGATATTTTTTATTTATTGGGAACATTTCGACGCAATGAATTTGCATTATATTAATTCAACTTTGTTATCTATCAATTAAGAAATATTCAATGGTTCTCAGTAATGTGTTCTATATCACAAGAATTGTCCGAAGTTTAAAATTAACACTTAAAAATGTTGTATACACATTTAATTGTTGTGAATATGTATCGACGTGATGACTAAAAAATATCCAATATTAGCTTTTGATTTGTCTGCTGATAGTAATCACCAATACGATATTTCAAAAAGCTTTATTTTTGAAGCTGGCAAAATTTTTTTAATAAAAATTGAGCCATTATCATGCGGATTAATCACAAATTAATTATAGGGAAATATCTTTAAAAAGAAGGACTTTATTTTTAAAATACTTTCAACTAAACAAACCTAAGAAATAACAACGTTTTAACCTAAACAAGTTTTGAATAGATTATTTATACAAGAAAGGAAACAAATAATGAAGATATTGCTATACATTTACTGCCGAACATAAATGTGGAGAAATAAACCATTTGATTAGAGACTATAATGTGCTCATAGAGAAGTAAAATATTCATAAGCCTTATTTTGCAAATGTTCCATGATAGACAATAAGATGTATCTGTGAATTGCGGAGACGTGTAAAGTTCATATTTAGAAACAATGCTAAATGATTATGATTAATGCTTGATGCAAAAATAATACTTTTTGATAAATGTGCTGATCATTACATTTGTCTATTATATAAATTGCTTCCAGTCTAAATTTCTGGATGAAATAATGTTCCTAAGAGTACCCCTTTTTCTTTCTTTTTTTATCCCAAACTTAGTTTTCAAGATCTAACCAGTTTGTGAAGATTTACATATTGTTATTAGTTCTTGATGCAGTACTGTCAGTTCCGTATATTGTACCGTATATTAAACTATACATTCAGCTCGACTTGAATCATCACAGTACAAAAAAAAATCACATTACGAAATCTGTTGCTTTTAACAGATTACCTTGAAATAAGCTGTGACCGATGCATTAACATTCACGATTAATTAGAATTTCGTATTAGACTGGTTCTGTGGTCTTGTTGCTGCTTCTTCCTCAATTTTTTACTAATCAAATGATTTTATTCCATATTGATTTGATATGTGCACTGCACTCTGTCACAAATTTCTGTAAAATTTGAAGAGTTGACCATTTATTTATACGGTCAACTCTCTTTTTTTGAGAAAAAAAGGACAGTTCTCTTTTTTGTAACAAACTTCATCAAAATTAGCAGATTTATTTACACCATTAATTTAAACGGTTATTATAGAAGCAGTCCAGGGACCAAATCCAGCTGTCGCCAAAGAGTTTTTCTCTTAAATTTTTTAAACATTGGTGAGCATGTACACTGTAAGAAATTCGGATCAAATTACATTAAAAATTATCGGCACTCAGGGGGCCGGTTCTTTTAATCATGAAATCAATTTTCTCCGGAATATGCAATATAACAAAAAATCTGATAAAACGTAATTTTTAAAGAAATGAAAACAGTTAAAGCACTCTAATTAAATAAATATTACAGTTAAAGTTACAGTATACTATTTTACGACAAAGATAGTTTTTACCGTAAAATGGATTTTACGGATAATGCATTCAAAGTGCTGGTACTTTACACTATAATTTGATCCGAAATTTTTACAGGGTAAGACTACGTTTTCAACATAAAAAAAAGAAATGATTTACTTTCATGCCATAAAATTAAACAAATACATCTGACTTTCTACGTATCTGCAGTGGCATAAATTTTTATAATTTAAGACAACGGAACAATATTCATATAACCTAATATAGACTGTTTCTTTTTCTACGTATGACTGTAAAAAAATTGTGGTTGAATGAAAAAGTAATAAAATGAAATTTTTAAATCTGATTCCCTGCATATAATATACATTTTTAAAATTTAGAGCAATGCAATAGGGAGCATTTTATTCTTCCTATATCTATGACTACAAAATTATACTTAGCACGGAGAAAAAAATTCTTATATAATTACCGGTCTGCATAAGAATCACATTTCTGGTAAAAAAAAAGTATAATTTTGATTAATAAAAACAAAATATACGGTGTTTAAAACAATTAATTGGTAATTTTTCCGTTCATATAATAACGGTTTACCGGAAATTCTGGTTTTCAAAATTATAGTTTTAATTAATAGACATTTAAAAAAATTAAGGAAAATAGATGATTTTTGTGCCATGCTCAAATATACTATGATAAAATTAATACATTTAACAAATATTTTCATATTATTAAACCATATATTATTATTAATTCTATCAAAATTTTTACAACAGCACTTCGATGAAAATTACCGAGCTTTTTGCTGTTCTCATAGAACCAGAAACACGATAAATATTATAATATTCTGGTAGTTTTGACTATACATTTTCTCCCAGTGCATTTTTATGTGAAAAAAATGAAATTTCTACTTCTGACTCTCCACGTACCTTTAATGACATATATCTATAAAATTTAAGACAGTGCAAAACTGAGAGTTTTTCTTTTGATGTGTAGGGCTGCGAAATTGAACTTAGCTTTTACGTCACATATAGATTTATTTAACGTCATTTATACGCCTAACATAGAAAAGGTCAAGTAATTGCATAAATATTTCTATTAGAAAGCAGGAAATCAAAATATAAATTACGTTTCTAAGTTGAAATTTTTATAAGGGTTTAATCAGTAAATTTTTATAATGAAGTTAGACAGTTCACAGTAAATAAAGGAAAAAATTTAATAAGCAAGTTACTTAATAATTAGGTCACAAAAATTTAGTGTAATTAAGCTAACAAATTAAAAAGGAAGGAAAGGAGGATAAAAGTCTTACAATCAGCTTCAAATGCAATAAACGTATTTGGATTGATTAGGCGCATTTCCAAAAGAATATTAAGAAAATTTATTCAATAGAAAAAATAAATAAAACCTACTCTTCTTGTAGAATTAAACTATGTTATGATGAATGAAATCTTCACAATTAGAAACTAGTATCACAAATACAAAAATAATAAATACATTTATAATTTTAAGACAATTTCTCAGATTTAACAAATGGTATTTATTGCCAAACTGAAAGGCGGATCTTAATTAGGGTAAGTCTAGGTTAGATGACTAGTTTAAAATTCTCCGATATTTTTTATTATATTGCAGTAGAAGCAGTTTAACTTGATATTGATTTGGATAAAGCATTATTTTTTCTGACAACTAAAAGTGTGATTTTATTGAAAAAGTGTGACAACTAAAAGTGTGAAAACAAAATTTTATTCTCTAGTGTAAATAGTATTATTCAAGTTAAAACCCAATTATCTTGCGTTAAGAGTGAAGTTTTAATCAAAACTTAAATATCTTGAATATTAAAATATCTTGTACCTGAATTAAGAGAGTTGAGCTAAATGATTCAACCACTTTAAACCCTACTGGTCAAAGGTTATCGTCAACACCTTGATTCGGATTTTTTTTCTCAAATAAATATTATCACCCCTAACTCTGAAACAGGATAGGACCGGAAACACATTTTATCTAAAATCTCTAATAAAGAAAAGGCAATTAAATAAATAGTAGAATTAAAATAAATATTAAATAAGTTATATTAGAAAATAAAATAAAATGCGATACAATTAAAGTTATCAAAACAGTACAAACTTTTAAAACCTTTGTCGAAAATGTGGTAAAGTTTTTTCGAAAGTGATTATTTATATCTGTACTTTAGATTTAGCTCATTAGATACTTTTTACTTATTTTCCAAGAAAAATTCAATCTCTACCTGTTCTTGTAAGCTTTTCGTAGTTAACTGTATGATATATATGTTGTTTTCCATATTTTAA